TAGTGGTGCAACATCAAGCTCGGATGTATTTAACTTTTCCAGAACTAAATAGAAGACTATATTTAGGACAACACACTTAAGCATTAAGCATTAAGGACAGTAATCAAACTATATAATAATATATAGAGAACATCATATTTACACCCTTTTTCATAACAAAAACATAATAATTATTATCTTGGTGGTATAGGTTGTACTTCTTCCTATCTCTATAATATTCAGCAGATACCAGTGAAAGATCTCCAATATTTAAAGAAAATATTATGAACAGATTTCAAGAAAAAATGCAACTTTACTCAATTTGGAGAAGAAATCTATAACCTGTACAATGGATCAAAAGTTATCTTGTAATAAAAGAAAAGTTAGTATTTGAGCTTCTACTTAAATATACATATAAACCCACTGCCCTTTATTTGGTTTTGTCAGAATTTTTAAAAATAAACATTTGAGGCATAATTCTATAGGCAGCAGCTACAAAACACCCACAAATTCTAACAGGTTACTATGGTGACAGTTCTGTGCATGGGTAGAAGATAACTGTTCTCTGTAGAAAGCTGCATTTTAAGACATAAAGCAAACATTAACTAGCAGTTTATTATCCTTTTTGTCAAATACACTTTCTATATGAATGACTATTGCCAGATAAACTACTCAGTTTGTCTGGCTAATTAAGTTCTATTTGCAAGTTGATTTATTTCAGTTAAATATACTCGTCTTCAAATTCCATCCGTCACTGAGAACAGTTTGGTAGGATATCTGATTGTCCATCTAACAGCACCAATTACCAATTCAAATTACCTGCTCTTCAGTAGAGAAATGTAAATATATAATGGCCTTAGCAGAATGTGTAATGTAATACTATATGACTCTTACAATTTCAATCATATAACTAATGAAAGACTGCAATCCATGTTCTTCTACACCCAACCTAGAGCTAATTCATGTGAATTCACAGGTAATAGTTATGGATTAAATCAGTATTTTCCTGTCCATTTTGCGATCTGAATCCTGCATGAGAAAAGCTCTGTGTAGTCTTGATTGAGTAAATTCTACGCAATCATAAATGGAGTACAGTTGAGCCAGCAGGCAATTTCACAATCACATAAGGCACGGCATGTTATCTAGTGACAAGGACATGCTGGGCTCAATCCTCAACAGGTGTAAAATGTCGTATCTCAGATCAACAGATTGATTCTTCAACTATTCAAAGTGGATATTGCTATGCAGAAAGCAAAAACACAAACTGATTTTTTTCTCTCTGTTAAAGTAGCCTAGCAGGCTTCCTTTCTCCCTAAGTATTTCCTACTCAACCATATCATAGTAATACACATCCAATCCTTTTTGGATCAATGTTCCCTGCCACTGAGGTAACAGAAATACCTGATTCAACAACATGGTTTTATCTGTCTTGAAGTTGAAGCAAGGATAAGCTCTTGGTGGGAGGATAATCCACGTTTTAAACACAACACTTTCATAAGAATACAAAAGGGGAAACACCACCGCCAACTCCCTGTTGTTCTTAAAATTACAGAGGAAGCAAAGTCATCAATGCCTGCTTTGTCTCAGTGTGTCAGGAGGCTGGGGTAACAAGCAAAAAAATATATATATTTGCTTTGCTTTCTCTCTCTTCTTCATATTTTTCTCCCAACCTACTAATAAAAACCTCCCTGCTCTAGTACAGCATTTTTCACCATTACATATCAAATATATATTTCTAACATTAAAGTTATTGCTACTAAAATAGTACAATAAGGCTTTTTTGCACTGACCATAAAGAATAGTGAAAATAAACATAAATAGAAATTCTGTGATGCCAGCTTACAGAATGTAAGTTAGTAGCATTTTCCCACAGAAGTGCTATCCATGCATCCTTGAACTGACACAAAACAATGTCAGCATAGCATTTATTTTAGAACAAGGGTGTCAAACTCAAGGCCCGTGGGCTGGATCCGGCCTGCAGGGTGCTTAATTCTGCCCCACAGGGCAGCCATGGAAACAGTGAGACTGGCTCTGCCAGCGAAAATGGAGCTTGGGAGGGGCGCATGTGGCTCCCCCGGCCTTTATTTTCACTGGCAGAGGGCTTCAGGAGGCCATACAGGCTGAAAATGGGACTGACAGAGGGCTTCAGGAGGCCATCCAAGCTGAAAATAGGGCCCAGGGGGCCATGTGCCCCCCCCAGGGCTCTGTTTTCACTGGCTAGTAAAACAAACTAAAAGCCAAACAAAACAAAAGGAGAAATGTTTCCTCTTTTGCATTTCAGCATCCAAGAAGGGACAGGAAAGAAGAAAGGGAAAGAGGAAAGAAAAAGGAAAAGGAAAGCTGGGAAGAGAGCAAGAAAGGAAAAAGAAGGAAAGAGGGAGGGAGGGAGGGAGGGAGGGAGGGAGGGAGGAAGGAAGGAAGGAAGGAAGGAAGGAAGGAAGGAAGGAAGGAAGGAAGGAAGGAAGGAAGGAAGGAAGGAAAGTTCTGCCTTAGCACTTGGCCACAAGCAGATGGCAAGGCTCCTCTGGAGGACAAAGGTTTGATGCTCTCTCTGGTCTCTTCTTCATCCGCTGGATCCCCCCGGCCCGGCCCACCACAGCTGCTGACACGAGTGATGTCGAGCTGGCCACACACCCTGGCCACACTCCCCAACCCCTAAGGTCAAATGCAACCCTGATGTAGCCCTCAATGAAATTGAATTTGACACCCCTGTTCTAGAGGGAAGGCCGCTCTACAATTGATCAATGTCTTAGCTTCAAAGTAACATCCCCTCCTATCTGCCCATAATTGATCTTAAGGCTCTAAGATTTAATTCTGTTTCTCACATTAAATTATGGAATAATCTGCACATTGCCACTATAAATTACTTTTATTTCTTATTTGTGTATTGCATGATAAATCATAACAGAGTAAGTTGTAGTTTTCAAGGATATCTGGTGGTACTTATTCCGATTGGCAAGGGTTGCACATTAGCATTTCTTTTATACAGTTTCTATATAATGACATGATAGACCAGCTTAATAACATGAATGAATCCTAAATTGACAAGAGATACATATGGCTATACTCCTATAATACAGATGATGCAGTAATCCTCTCGAGGATCTATACTGGAGAACTTTGAATGCCTTTGTACAGCATTGCAAGAAGGCCAACTAGAAATTAATTACTCCAAAACCAAAATAATGGCATTTGATATCAGTCCCCAAACTCTCTTGGTCTATTAATGGTAATACCACTGAACAGGTACCATGCTTTAAATACCAAGAAGTGTTCCTCTAAGCTAATAGAAATAAACAGGCTTATTATATTACACAGAGCATACATAAGACTGCAGCAACTATTTTAAAATTTCATCATTTCATACAAGGCAAGTATATAAGTACCTGTCACTAATTTTTATTTTATTTATTTTTCACATTTCTGAACTGCACATCTCCCTCAAACAGGAGACATTCTTGAAACTAACCCTATGGTCAAATTACTATATACTTACCCTTTAACTTTGCAACATTGGAATTTGTAAATCCAAATTTCTAAGAGCAATTTTCCAAGTCCCCCACTGTATGTCTAATGGAATATTATGCATGGAGGCTAGAATGGCAAGAATGTAGTCCAGAATATGGCAGACCATGTTTAATTATTAGCGGATGGTGACACTTCTTCCCATAAGCTTAACTTACCTGACATTAGAGGGCAGATTTCAAGCCATATGGAAATGAATAGTCTACCACAAGATTCTGGTCCGAGGCCTCTTACTTTTAAATTGTTTTATTTGCATAAACTTTGGCAGATTACCTAAACAGAAATCACCCTAGAATGAAGATACAAACCCCTTTACTTACTTTCTTTAGGCTAAGAATAAGCAACGACAACATTTAAGCTACACCTGTTTGACATAGACCTTTAATCCAATGCTGGCAACAACTCTCAGCTTTTCATGGCTGAATCCTGAGATAACTATGATACCAGCTACAGATCTCATACAACTAAATGTTAAGTCTGAGTAAGTGCTACCAGAATCCTGATTTTTGGCTACAGTAGACTAACATAATTGTACTCCTACAATGTCATAGGAAGGCAGTACCCAAAGCTAAACAATTAATACAAAAACTGAATACACTGTATACATCAAGAAAAAAAAGTAAATTATACTGCTTAATATTTGGGCACCCTTCCTGCAACAGTCTTCAGAAAACCATTCCATTTATGTACTCTTTTCTTAGGACACTACTATCTTATGCTTACCCCTCCAGGTTTATCTACAAAATCTAATACCACAGCAAAATCTGTACACCTGTTCCTGGAGGCATACCCATTTGGGAATCTGCTGTTGATTATTGCTTAGAAGTACCCAGAACTTAATTTTTCTCCCAGGCATCTCCATGCTGGGAGGAAAGCACTGCCTATGTGCAATGCCTCAGTTTTTGCAGATACCAGAGAAGCTGATTTCTCACTATGCCCTCTGCCTTCCATTCAACTGTTTGCAAACTGAGACAGTGGGGATGATGCAAACGAACAACAGGGCAAATTTGCTTTCTCTTGGCAATAGTTTCCATCTCCAACAGGTTGCCGTATGGAAAAGCTTGGTATCTCTTCAAATTTTCTCCCTGCTCACATTTGCTCACTTAATTGTATCTTCTTGTCCTCATCCTTTTCAGTTTTCAAATAGCTTTTATATTTACAGTTCATATGCTCATTTGCCCAATTGGCTACTTTTTCAGGGCCAGTGTTGTGATTGCAGTAAATTAACAAATGGTTAATGGGAGGGAACATAAATGGACAGAGCAAGGACAATAATTGATGCTAAACTTGGAGAATGGAAAGGAAAAAGTTACTTGTCAATTTGATCAATAAATTTGAGTGCAATGATATAGATATAGATATAGATATAGATATAGATATAGATATAGATGTAGGGATAGGTATATAGAGATACAGAGATATAGTTATAGATATATATTAGAGATATAAACTAAGAGATAGGGTGGGACAGAGCAGAATGTACAAGGGGGGATAGGATCTGCTATTTTTTTTATTTATTTATTGAATTTATATTGCCGCCTATTCGCTCATGGCGACACAAGGCAGCTTACAGAATATAAAACAACATTTAAAACAATAAAAACTAACAAAAAGAATCAAATAAATTAATATAGTACAATATAACAAAATCACTCCCCATCTCCCACCCCCCATCCCGGCAACAGCAGATCACACAAGCCATTTAATGGGCTCCATCCCGCTCTGGGTTCCCCAGGCCCACTGGCAGAATCAGATCTTCAGCACCTTCCGGAAGAGTATTAGAATGGGGGCCATTCTAATCTCTGAGGGAATGATGTTCCAGAGAGAGGGAGCCACCATCCACTTCCATTGTTCCTTGTTTTGACTCTGCCACAGATCCTTCAATGTTCCCCTGATGCTCCTTATAGTTCTTCTTGGATGGCTTCTCTTTGTTTGAATCAGCAATTGAGGGAGACATCACGTTTGATTAGTTCCAACTGTATGACTTCTGATCTACTTTCAATAATTTCAAATATGATGCCGCCAAGACTGTCTGGTTTTCAGCATTTACTTCTAGTCTTCTAATCATCTATCTGATTACTGATCAAGTTAATAGGGAGAGCAGTTTAGCAGGCAGTTTGGTGTAGAAATCAAGGAGGAAGCACTTTTTAAATTATTTATGAGAGAAGCATGAAAAAAGACAGAATTGCTCTTGTGACCAACAGGGCTTGTTCCATATTGTTGCTCACCCTGCAGAACTATGCATGACTTTGTCAAGCTTCAATGCATGACTATGCATGATTTTGTCAAGCTACACTGTTGCAACTATTATCACCTCTCAGCTTGCCAATAAACTAAGGGGGAGGGGAGGGGGGAAATTAAATGTAGGTTCCAGACATAAGGAGAGTGGGAATAAAGGATACTTCAGCCCATGGCTAAGATCCTCAGTATTTTCTCATAACAATTCTATTGCATTTAATTGGACAATGTGACCTACACCAAGATGGGGAAGGAGAATTACTATACTTTAATTATACAGGATTGTGTGGGAAATAGCCAGGGCTGGTTTTGCCTTAATTGTGCCAAAATGATGTACTCAATAAAGCTTTGCCTAAAGAAATTGGACCTTCTTGATTGTGCTTGCTCGGTTGAGTTTGTCAGTCGAAACCTTGACAGACTTAATTGGAAGATGATTGACCTCCTAGAAAAAAGACAGAGAACAGAGACACCATTACCAACTTATCACGGAAGATGACAAATTGTTTTAAATGACTCAATGACTTATGGAAAGACAATAGCCTCAAGAAGCCTTTCAGGAGATAGAAAAATGTGGGGGTGGTTGCTTTCTCAGTAGCTGGCAAACCATGCTGAGGAATGCAAACGTCAGCACAATGATCCTTAAAGACCCTTCCTCAGGAAGTGTGAGACATGAGATTTGTCACGTAAGCAGGTCACATTGTTTGCAGCAGGAAAACCATGAGCTGACCATGAGCTGTCCATATGGATAGCATACCCTATAGCATGAGCTTTGTTTAGCCAATCAACTACAAATGAACTTTGATCAATGAATCAGCTTCTGCCATGAAGACTGTAGAGATCAATAAAAGGGAGCTCCCAGAAGCTGTCCTGTGTGCCTTCCCATTAACCTTCTTCCTGCCTATGCATCTTTCTTCATCACAACAACACCTGGTGACCCCGACGTGATATCCCTCTGCACTCATTCGGCCGGACGAGCCCAGGTGCACCACAGCGAATTTTGTTCCCCAAAATACGTGAGTAGGGGGGGGAACTGTCAGCTCCACAGAAGCTTCATGCAAAAGAGCTACAGAAAATACTTAAAGACAATGGAACAGCAGGAGTTAGGTTAAGTGATTTAGAGCAGTTAGTAAATGAGATAGGTTGTCAATGTCCCTGGTACCCTGAGGCAGGAACCTTAGACTTGCGGGACTGGATAAAACTTAGAATTCATTTGCATTTGCCACCACGAGCACCAATTCAACATTTGTTGCTGTGGCAAAAATGTAAGGAAGCAATTGAGGTTATGGGGACTCATAAACTCAAGGCACCGTCACCATCTCTCTCTTTGCTTCCTGAGGAGGGGTCTGCTCCCCCTCCACCATATATGCAGCTGACTCTGCCGGCAGCAACTACACTGAAGACAGTGGAGTCTAGCTCCCCGACTGCACCCTTACCGATTGCTTTTTCACAGGAGCCATTTAGCGCAGTCAGAGCAGGGTTTAGGGAAGAGCAGCAAAAAGGAACCCTCACTGGGATAGAACTTGCAGAGGGTCTCCAAGCTTTTTCGGTCACAGACAGTCAATCCACAAGGGCAAGCTCAATATCAGTGGAATCCCTTGCCATATCAAATTTTGAGAGAGCTGAGGAAAGGTATCACAGAGACAGGTTTGCGTTCCACCTATACTATTGGAATGGTGGAAGGCATATCTAATGGTTATAATTTGATCCCACAAGATTGGAAGGATTTGTTTCGCATGCTTCTCACACCAGCACAGTATGTTGTTTGGGATTCAAAATATCAGAGAGAGGCAATTCATGCAGGAAACAATTCAGGAGGTTTATATATACCAGACCAACTGTACGGAGTTGATGCTTTTACTACAATACAGCAACAAGCCACAGGTACACCCCTGCCAGCTTATTCCGTGATAGGGCGTTGTGTGCTCAAAGCATTTAAGAAAGTGCCAATCTCAGGCAAACCTAGCAAGTCTTTTGCAGCAATTTGACAAAATGCTGCTGAAACATATTCTGATTTTATTGATAGATTTCAAGAAGCTATTCAGCGGCAAGTAGATGAGGAAGCTAGTGGAGAATTAATGAAAAGGCTAGCTTATGAACATGCTAATGCTGATTGCCGCCGCACATTGCAATCTGTTGTTAATAGAGGGGATTACACCTTGGCTCATATGTTGAAAGCATGCACTGATATAGGCACAAATGTTCATCAAATGGATGCCTTAGCAGCTGCCTTACAAAAAGGAAAGTTTGGCAAGCCCAAAGGTAACTGTTTTAATTGTAATAAACCTGGCCATTTTAAACAGCAGCGCAGAGCCCCTGGTGGTGGAGCCCATAAAGGCAATGGGCCAGGAGGAGGTCAAATAACTAAACCAAAAACTGTTTGCCCTAAATGTAAGAAGGGGTTTCACTGGGCAAATCAGTGCAGAAATCAGAGAAATAGTCAGGGAAACTAGAGTTCGGGCTCGCAGCAAGCCCCGGCCCAATTGCCGCCATTACTATTAAAAATTCTAAAGCAGCTACGAGAGAGAGTGCAGGAATTGATTTGATTAATCAAGAGGATAAATTCATTCCTTTCCCTGGAGTTGTTACCTTAATGTCATCACAACTGAAAGGACCATTACCTGCTAACACTGTGGGATTGGTCCTTCCTTGATCCTCCACAGGGAAAAAAGGAATTTTTGTCATCCCTGGAGTCATTGACTCGGATTATGAAGGCATAATTATGATACAATTTGAAATGAATGTGCCCATGACTTTAAAACAAGGAGATTCTTGGGCACAATTGGTAATTGTTCCATATGTAGTGCCAGCAGGAGGTAAGCAAATTAGTAGAGGAAGTGGAGGATTTGGTTCTACCAATCCTATCCGCTCCCTGCATCCTAGCATTATGGCAGTAACACAATCAATTCAAGAACAAAAACCAAAGCATATATATTTGTTAAATGGCAGATCTTTTGAAGGAGTCCTCAATTCTGGTGCAGATGTCTCTGTCATAGCCACTGACAATTGGCCCACAGATTGGCCTACTACATCACCCTCCGTGTGGGGAGTTGGAGGACCCCAAGCAGCCCGACGCAGCACCAAATGGCTTACGGTAACAGCTCTTGATGGCAAACGCACAGCCCAGTTAAAGCCAGTTATACTCCCCATTCATGTAAACCTATGGGGAAGAGATTTGATGTTGCAATTTCAAGCAAAATTAATTATTAATGATTAATAGTTACTATGTCTCGGCCTACTGCTCTCCCTTTAGTATGGCAATCTTCTACGCCTGTATGGCCTTTATTGTTCCTGAGGAACAATGGCCTTTACCGCAAGAAAAACTTATAGCCTTACATGAGTTAGTGAGAGAACAGCTAGCCGCTAACCACATTGAACCCACTACAAGTCCATTTAATACGCCAGTTTTTGTAATAAAGAAGAAATCTGGTAAATGGAGGCTTCTTCACGACCTCAAGAGCATCAATGCAATTCTACAACCAATGGGGCCACTACAATGTGGCACCCCAAATCCGAACATGATTCCTAGGGAATATCAAGTTATGATCATTGATTTAAAGGATTGTTTCTTTACCATTCCATTATGCAAAAAGGATAAGCCTCTCTTTGCCTTCACAGTTCCAGTATTAAATGCTGAACAACCCACAGAAAGATATCAATGGACTGTATTACCTCAAGGCATGTTAAATAGTCCTACTCTCTGTCAGCACTTTGTTGCGAGAGCTTTGAAGCCTTTTAGGAAAAGATATCCTCAAGCATTGGTATATCATTATATGGATGATATCTTAGTTGCTGGTCCGCAAATTTCTCCATATTGGCTAAAACATCTAACACAAGATCTGGCTACATATGGTTTGCAGATAGCACCAGAAAAAATACAGCTATAAGAACCATTTATTTATTTAGGTCACAAGTTATTACAGACATATTCACACCCACAAATTCCTCAACTAAGAATAGAGGATAAAGTTTCCTATGTTCAATTACAGCAACTTTTGGGTTCAACTAATTGGTTGCGACCATACGTAGGCCTTCCTACTAGTATGCTTAGTCCTTTGTTTGATGAATTAAAAAATAAGGAAGATCCATCTGAATTGATAACACTTACCCCAACTCAAAAAGCAGTCTTTACAAAAATTAATGAAGCATTAAAATTGGTTTGGGTAGATAGATGCCAGGAAAATATTCCCTTGATAATGATTATCATTCCAACCGCAAAACAACCTACAGCGGTATTAGCTCAGGAAATACAACAAAGAAGCAAGAGTAAGCCTTCATTATTAATAATTGAATGGCTATATCTCTCACATAGCCCAAGTCATACTATTAGCGTACCAGCACAAATGCATGCAGAATTAATTTTCAAAGGAAGAGAACGATGCAAGGTACTTATAGGTCAAGATCTTGTCAATATCATAGTCCCCTTGCCATTGAAAGATTGGGAGCGTATGGTTAGCCTCTCCTCTTCTTTACAAGCAGTGCTGACCGATTAAGTTGGGAAAATTTCTTACCATATTCCTGCAGACCCGCGCCTGCTTGCCTTTAATCAAGTAGAAATCATAGTCCAAAATGGTATCTCATTAAAACCTTTGGTGAATGCCCTCACAGTCTTCACTGATGGGGGGCCAAAGTGGGGCGCAACTGCCTGGCTTGAACATGGACACTGGGTTACGAAAATTACACCTCCGCAAAAGTCCACTCAGCATGCAGAGGTTGCAGTCATAATTTTGGCCTTGCAAATCTTTCCAACTCAAGACCTCAATATTATTTCAGATAGCCAGTATGTCTGTCAAATTGTCACCTCTCTCCCTGGTGCATATGTTATACCATCTTTGGATGATGATCTTCTGTCCCTCTTTTTAACATTACAGCAAGTTTTGCAAATTAGAAAGAATCAAATTTACATCGCACATATTAGAAGTCATCAGTCTTTCCCAGGCATATTGTCAGAGGGAAATGCTGTTGCAGATGCTGCAACAAAGCAGCATGTTCTGTCTGTTACTCCATGGGAAAGTCATTCTATGTTTCATCAAAATGCCAAGGCTCTTGCAAAACAATTTCATATTCCTCTAGATCATGCTAGAGCAGTCATACAACAATGACCTCAATGTTCTCAAATCACCCCATCTCCCTCCATTGGGGTGAACCCAAGAGGTCTTAAAGCAAATTAACTTTGGCAGATGGATATAACCCAATACCCCTCTTTTGCTCCTTGGAAATATCTTCATCTAACTATTGATACTTTTTCTCATTTTATTTGGGCTACTCCTCAGAAAGGGGAAGCCACCAAACATGTTGTTAATCATTGTATTCGAACATTTGCTGTCATGGGCCTGCCTTCTACGTTAAAAACAGACAATGGCCCTGCATATTGTAGTCGCTCCTTTGCTGAATTTTGTGACAAATGGCAAATTAAACATCTTTTTGGCATACCTCATAACTCTA